GATTGACTGGTTTGACCTCCTAGCAGTCCAGGGGACTCTTAAGAGTCTTCTCCAGCACAGTTCAAAGGCATCAATTCTTCGGCGCTCAGCCTACTGCATAATATTTGAAATAATGGGAAGCAGAAGCAGATGTGATGATTATCTGCCGGAAAGATGCAGCAGCAGGAAATAAGAGAAACTATAGCAAGAGAGTCTCTGAAGTGGATAAAAAGGAACATGTAGGCAAGAAAGTGGAACTGTCTTTCATAACATCGATCTGGCCGATTTGATCCTGCAGGGTTGGCGTGCTCCAGGTTCCTTCAATTAAATAATGCCATCTCTCAGGAGCCCAGAAGTGTGCCTTCTCCATAGCAGAACCTGCCCTCTGGAATGAGGTTCCCCCCAAGATCCAGATAGCCCCCACTCTGCTGTTGTTTAGAAGAGTGTGAAGACCCGACTCTTCACCCAAGCCTTTGGCAGGTGGAAGTGAGACCCCCCGCTTCATTGTGCTTGCCTTCTTTTATCTTTATTAAGTTTTATTGATTTTATTGTAATTTCTTTGATTGTTGTGAGCTACCCAGAGTCGTTGAGAGTCAGGTGACATACAAGTTTAATAAATTATTGTTGATTGCACACTTAGCCGGATATTTAGACTGGATCTGGCATTTTTATCCACCTCTCAAGTCCTTCCCAAGGACCTGGGATAGGTAGATGTTGTCTGATGGTATTAAAGGTATTGTCGCAGGATGTAAGTTGTTTCAAGTAAAGGTGCCTTTTGCAATTGAAATAATAATAATAACAACAACAACAACTAGAAGTAGCACTATTTGACTTCTTACCATAAAAAAAGAACATTCCAAAATACAAAGGAAAAGTGGTAATTGAGTTGAAAAGAAACTGCCAGAAATTCTCCTTATTAAGTGGAGGACCCACAAGAGAATTCCACAACAAATAAAACAAGATTAGAGCAATTTATTATTTTTAAATATCCCTATTATAGACCCAGGACTATTAAGTGTCATTGAAGAGAATGAATTTCAACATTAGCATTCCTTGAAGACTTTTAACATTTTTCTTCCAAAGTGAATCTTTGCCAGTAACTAAATATCAAATAGAAACGAATCTATGCGAGATCTGTAAACGTTATTCCTTCTGAATTTAGACGTCCTACACAAACATTTTCATTTTTGCTTAGTTGTGTTCTACAGATCCCTAATAATCATTAGCAGTGCATATATTAAAACTTGTTGTTCATGCTGGAATTGCACTTTTATGATAGATTGACACATTTAATTCTCATGTTTATGTCTCATGGGGGTTTGGAAAACTGGCTCTGTTGGAGTCCAATAGAAGTTAGTCATTCCAGGAAGCAGTATAGCATAATCTTAATTCATCCTACATTAATGTTATTGTATTTTTTATTTTACAGCAGAAAACCAATAAAAGGCATATGCTGTTGTTTAAAAATATTAAAGCAAGGAAGTCAGACTTTCTGAAGCATTGGCAAGGGGACAAGAAAAATAACGAAATATGAAATTATTGTAAGTACATTTTTTGCAAGGTCATTCCGAGAAAGAATGAAAACAGAGACAATTGTCATTCTGAATGGTGACTGCAAGCATTAAATTCTTGAAAGGTCTTAATATGACGTTAGAGACCTATTTCAAAAGTTAATGGCAAATAGCAATTTGATTCTGCTGAAAATGAAGGGTTTACATCTACATCTCAGAGTTCAAGCTGTTAATAATATGGGACTTTTCTTTGTAATTTTACTTTTTTATGGAACATTACAAAGGTTTGGAAATACCTAGTAAAAAAGGCTTGGCAGGATGCCTACTCCTTTGCTGTGGCATATGGGAAAATGCTTGAAGACCGCCATCTTGTGGAGATGAATTAACATAACATTTGCGGTACTGTATTTGAGACAAATACAGAGACTTGTCCAGGTAGTCTCTGACAATTGGACATGACTGAACAGATTAAAAAAAACTTTTTTTTGAGACCAAACACTTTAGAAAGCCCTAAACACGTTGGGGAGTTGAAATTGTCACAAAACATTTTTACAGGTTACGATTTGTGGAATAAAATAGAAGTATATTGAGGTGGCTTGGTCACACTGAGAAAATGAGCAAAACTCAAAATGCAGAACAAATATATAAAAGAACAGCAAACTGATGAAGAAAAAAAGGCTGCAAAATTATGTTTGGTTGGAGTTGAATGAAATCATCAAAAAGAAAGAGAAGAACCAAACGCCATGTATGAAGCAGTGTATCAATACTAATTTACAATCTACCACTATTTAGATTTCCTTTTCTTTCTCTTTTTTTCTTAGCTTTAATTTCCTTTGCCTACTACTATTTATTCATTTTCTGCACTTTGCATTACATGGCATATCCCAAAGGAGAACAGCATAATTGCTGCGTACATACATATGCCCATACAGATGACCATTCTATATGTGGGAACAGGACCTACCCTATTTCATGTCACTTCCTAAATATTATTTTTAACATGACCTGCACAGATTGCTGAAACTGTTTAAAATTGTCTTAGAACATACTGGAAATTCTGTCAATATTCCAGATTAGAAACATTAGGAGCTTCTAAGGAGCCCTCAGAAGTTAATCTCAATATTAATGCCTGGAAAAGGAAGAAATGTCAGGATGATCCCATGACTGGCGGACATCTCAGGTTACTGTTTAAGCTACCACTTGTAATACAAAACTGTAATCTGATCTGGAGCGTGTCTTATAAAGGTAAAACAATGCACAGCTATACATGCCACTCTGGGCCCAACCTTCAAAGTATGTAAGCGCTCAGAAATCGGCAGATCATCCACTTCCACAACAAATTCTTCCACAGCTATGTACAATTTATGCTGCAATTCATTCCTCTGGAGAATCAAGCTTTGTACTTCATCCTGTGCAGAAGACAACACAAAATTGAGAAGGCTTTCTTCAGCAGAAACATAGACAACCTATACCTCTGTAATTACCTCTATCAAATATGAAGACGAACTTAAGCCACAAGAAGAGACAACAACCCTCTACAGTGCGTTCAGATCTGCCTTCATGTTTTTGTACAACCTAATACGGTACTGACATTGATCCAAGGTATCAGTTTGCAGATACTTCTGCAGTTACAAATGTTATATATCATGTACACGTTTACAATATAAGCCAAATCAGATTGCAGATGGAAGCAACATCGGCCAAACTCTCAAAATGTTTGCAGTTAGACAAGTGACTAATGAGAGCAAGAGCATCTCCTTGGGAATTCTCAATGCTTTACTGTAGTTCACAGCAGCTCAAATAGCATGTCTTTTTTCTTTATCCACTCACATATGATAAACAATGGAGAAAATAGACATATTAATTGGTTTACATACATACATACATATAATAAATTATTTTATCTCTTGATTTAAAAAAAAACTATTTGTACTGTTTATTAAAAATTATGTCAAATATTTCACATTCAATTACTGGACTTTTCCCAAGCTACTTTATAGGACCTTCTGAGACCAACATCCTTTGTTTGTTTCTACATGAATCTACACAGCTTTTCAATCCAGATGCTGAGCTCTGGGAACAGAGAGAGAGAGAGAGAGAGAGAGAGAGAGAGAGAGAGAGAGAGAGAGAGAATGCCCACTCTCACATATTCATTGCAAGGAAGATGAGTTTACTGTCTGGTGCAAACAGTTTATTAACAATTTATGAATGAAATAATCTCTAAGTAATGAAAATGCAATAAGCATAACACAGCAATCATATAAAATTAATAAGTAAGATCAATAACACAAATAATAAAAAAGATAAGGATGCCTTGAATTTAAACTCAATTCCTAGTAACTACATCCAGGAAGATTATTCTAGTGAGTAGGACCAGTGACAGGAAATTTTTCATTTGAGTAGCAACCTGTACAATTTCTTAGATATGTGCGCTCTCTCTCTTTCTCTCTCCCACATATACACACACGGTCATTGTAGTCCAACATCTCTCTTTCTCAAGTTGAACTATACACAAGAGACCCCACTCAACTATCCCGCTGGAGAGGGAAGGGAAAAGTTGCAAGAATTTCTCACAGTGATGGCCTACAAGTTTCTTTCTCCTCTTCACAAAGTCTTTGGCCCTGTTACAGATTTAACATGGTTACATCATATATTATCAAATTATGGTCACATTTTAAGTTAAATCCTTGGGAATCCTTTTGCTAACAAGTATAAACAGCTATATCAACAAAATATAAAAGATCATCAGAGCTTATGACCTGGCATAAAACGGTATGGCCTATCACCTACCACATGTTTGCAAAGGCGTATTTCCTGTTGGGATATGTTATAATCTGCCCAAACCTTTTCCAGCTTTTCCAAGGACAGAGGGGCCTCAAGGCTCCCTTCGGTAACTACATTTACAGCTTCTGAAAGGTCTTCTCCAAAATGATCACCTGCATGACTTTGCCTGAATAAAAGATACTTAAAAATGAACATTTATAATGCTATATAATTAACTACAGGCCCACCGCTACAAATCTCTGAGACACACAGCTATTTTTACCCAATAAAAATATGCCCCTTAATATGCCAAAATATTATTCTATCTAGAATAAAAGAATACACAAGGGGAACAAAAGATCAAAACCTATCCTGTAGGAATACTACCATCAGACACATAACCAAACAATATGTTTAGGTAACTGTACTCTTTAAAAGATGAATCAGTGGCCCCTATTAAGTCAGGAAAACATAAAGCATAGCCCCAGGCTACATGCAGCCTTTGGAGCCCTCCTTCCCTCTCATTCTCCAGCCTTCTCTCCCTCCTGCACCTTCCCATCTCATTGCCTGCTGCCATGTTCCCCCTCATGTCCTTCCATCGCTTTCCCTCGCCCCAACCACCTACCCTGCTTCCTGCCTCCCCACCAGCTGCCAGGCTGCTACACTCTTTTCTGCTTCTGACATCTTCCTGTGTCCCCCTCCCTGCTTGGCTCTTCCACCCCAAGCCCTGCCTTTTTGTCCCTCTCTCTGGCTCCCCTTCCAACCTGTTCCACCTCCTCCGCCTCCTGACAAACCTTTCCTCTTCCTTCTCAGCTTCTCTACTCTTTCACTAGGCCAAACAACCGGGGGAGTCGGGGGGGGGGGGGTCAAAGAAGTCCGGAAAGGAGCCACAACCCTAACACCGAAGGCCTGGCCTTTTTAAATTTCAACTGACAGAAAGTTGGATTATAAACCACTTT